TAGGACCGGTAACCAGGTCCAAAAGCCGTGTGCAGACTGTGTTTGACCTATAAAGACTCTCCCACAGACTGGCTGATTAAGCCCTGATGATGTCAGCAGAACGCTGACGAAAGCTCGGCATTTGTATAGCGGCATTAAACTCATATAGTTTAATGATTTTACCCTGGTGTTCGTTTTATTTATTTATTTGTTTTGGCATGGATGCACCCAGGGATCATGTTTTTAGCATAATTACCAACACATATACATATATATATATGTGTTGGTAATATATTATAGGTGTGTGTGTGTGCGTATGTGTATAGGTATAGGTATGCATGTGTGTGTGTGTGTGTGTGCGTGCATACGTACACACGCGCGCGCACACACACACACACACACACACCTATACCTATACCTATACCTACACCCATACATAACACCCTTAAACTTGTATTTAAAACTTCTTTCTCTAAGGATTGAAGGGACTCACTGGTCCTATAAAACATATCTCTCCAAAGGTTGTTAACAATTGAAAGGCAATTAAGAAGCAGTTTCCAAAAGTGGTTAAGAAACAAGGCTTTGTATCCATATATATGGATACACACATACACACACACGTGTGACTGCCAATCTCTGCTGTAATACTGTCCTCGCTCCTTCAGGGATGTCTACTTTACCTCCTCACCTCCTCAAGTGTGGAGTATATTTCTCTTATCCCCTCTTTCATTAGGTGTTTTCTTTACTTTCTCCAGATTCTGGAGCGACTAAATAAAATGTGTGGTGTTGGTGAGCAGATGCGAAAAAAACAGCAGCGTTTGCTGAAAAATTTGGATGCTCACAAAGTGATGCTGGATCTGTTGCAAATCCCTTATGAGAAGGTAGGAAGAAGAGGCTGGAAGACGGGCACTTGATTGGAATACCAGAAGGTGGTGGCTCTTAGGTTCTTATTGGATAATAAATTTATTTTAAAGGCATTAATCAGGGAATTGTCTAGTCCAATCTTCCTTAAAAACAGTAATTATATATCTAAATCTTTTCTTATTTCCATTTTCTTGAAAGCTTCCAAAGAAGGAATTTGTGCATTTTTTCTAGGCAACTGACTTTCTTTTGTTCTAAACATATTGCAGGGTGATGCCAAAATGTTGGAGATTTTAAGATTAACCCACCAGTTCCTACAGAAATTTTGTGCGGGCAACCAAGAAAATCAGACCCTTCTGCATAAGCATCTCAACTTGTTCCTTACTACTGGGGTAAGAAAGAAGGGACAAGTAAAAGAAGGTGGAAATGTCCAAAAAATCCCAATGTGTTGAAAAAGTTGAATTCTGACAGTTCTCCAATTTCTGCTCAAATTAACTTGTGTAGTATTTGTAATAAATATAATAGCTTCATTGCTTCAAATGATTTATAAGGCCAAATAGGGCTGTTATGTGATTCACATAACCGGTTGAAAAGGGCAACAGATTTTGCTTCCCATCTGCTGCTTAGGGGCCCAATCATAATTCCTACATCCATGTCTTTTTCAGAGTTGCTCTAGCTATTGCAGCTGTCACCATGGCCCACTAGCTTATAGGAAAGCAGTTGGCAGCACTCCTAAGACTTTGCTTTCCAAACTCTGATGCTCTCCATTGCTCAGCAAGGCTTTCTGAATAAAATTGTGTCAAAGAATTTTTGTCTTGGTGGCAAACAATGTTTAAAATTTAAATTAGTTGCTCTCTGCAGATGCTGCCCATAAGGACCTCTATTATAATAGCTTTTTCTGAGAAAAGTTCCTCTTCTCAGAATAGCAAATAGGACATTAACATGTCCTAAAAATTACTGAGGTTGCTATTACAACCTCAAGTGGTAGCAAACACATTTGAAAGGGTTGTAGTGAATGAAGATGATGGAGATGGCCGATAGGTCCAGCTTAGGTGGCAAAATATTTTATATTAACTCTAAAGCCAAATTAATATGAACTTTTTTTTCAACCAAGCCATTGTGAAGAATACAGTTGTTTTTGAAATATGAATTGCATTTTTTTCCATTAAATGTTTGAATTCCTTCTAGGGTGAACCCTTTGACCATGTCTGTTGAAAACAGATAGTATAATATCTTGCTATTTTGAGGTGGGAAATATATAAAAATACAAAACAAGCCCTTAAATAGGCATATCCATTTAATAAGATGCCAGCCTAATGTGGTAGTCCAAACAGGAAGTGTGACCAGATGTACTTATTATATTTAATGTAAGATTGCATTGGGAGACAGTATTCCTTGCGCCTCAGCAATGACAATGCTGGACAATGCTGGCTCTCTTGGCAAAGAACGAGAAATGAGCACCCCACCCTAGAGTTGGAAATGACTGGACAGGGGAAACCTTTACCTTTTACATTAGGAGAATCTTGCAAGCCTGAAAGTGCTTTTTCTCCCTCCTCATTTTTTACAACCCAAGAAATTAGGGAGGGTCTCTTCTGAGATGTTTCCCCTTTTGTGGCTAAGCTGCTTCTTGCCTGACCGTTCCTCTGGCTGTGGCTGTTTCCCCTGTCTCCGAGGTCATTCCCCCACACAAACAAAGAAAATTCCACTCAGTGGAATGATATGGACCCTTCCTGATCTAAGATAAGGTGGCTGCTTTATTTTCCACCTTCTATTTTATTCTCACCACATTTTAAGATTGCATCTGACCAAGGTAATCAGAAGGGATTGGAAATTGGGGTTTTCCTGAGAGTTGATACTAGATAGGCAGATAAATAATAAAAAAGATTATTAGGATTAATGTTAGTGCATAAGCTCTTTTGAGCCAAATGCTCCAATCAATTTTAAATAATGTACTGAGAGGGCAAGTGTCAAAAATGGATGAATTTAAGACAAAAATATGAATTATTTGGATTAAATGTCATTAAAAAATAACTTTATTTAATGTTCATCATATTATTACTTCCATGTATTTAATGATTTGTACTTTCTCTCATGTTAAAAACTACAGTTTGCTAGCAAATTATGGAGGGTCTGTGGAAGCTCTTCCAAATGTTTTATAAAATGTATGTGATCTATAGGTTACACATCGGGTTTAGATACATATGAATGATAACAATTGTTTCTTGACAGCTTCTGGAGGCAGAGACAATGCAGCACATCTTTCTGAACAATTATCAGCTGTGCTCTGAGATCAGTGAAGGGGTGCTACAACATTTCATCCATTGTCTGGCTACACATGGGCGCCATGTTCAGTATCTTGATTTCCTTCACACTATCATCAAGGCTGAGGGCAAGTACATTAAGAAATGCCAGGACATGATCATGACTGAGGTGAGATTCAAGGTCTCTGGGAAAGGGTAGAAAAAAGGAACAGGATAAAATGCATGGAAAGAGACTAGGAAGTGTTTACACATAAATAGGGGGTAGAGCCATTGTACATTAGCACAGGAAACCAAGTAATGTTAAATGTAATCTGATAACAGGTCCTGAGAAATTACAGAGGTGAAGTTCTGATTTGAACTATCCCCATTCCTACTTTAAGAACTTCAGGAAATATTTGTTCCTCACAAATCTCTTGCTTAACGTTCTCAAAACAAGAAATATAAAGTATTAAGATAGTACAAAAAATGAGCCTTGGAAAAATAACATATACAAGGCAGCCTGTCTGAACTTTTCAAAATAATGAGGTGTGAAGTCTTCCTCCAAATATCTGTCAAGCTTTAATAATGAAGGGTTGAACACTGGTGAACTTAAAGTTATGGTCTTCCAAACCAGGAGTTGATTTATTAAAGCAATTTAGCAGCTTGACAGTGTAGTACAGGGGTCTTCAAACTTGGCTGAGGAATTCTGGGAGTTGAAGTCCACAAGTCATAAAAGGGCCAAGTTTGAAGACCCCTGGTGTAGTATTTATTTAATGCAACCATTTCTCTTTCAATTTTGTAATGACTATACTTACTCTGTACATTCCTGTATATAAAACAGTTGCCAAATTATGTAACACAAACAGCTGTAATACTGACTGTATGGGGAACAAAGGATAGCTATTAGTTAGTGCAACAGATGCCACAGCCAGATGTTCAAATATACCCATTTCCCATCCTTTCTATTCTTGTTTGCTGTTTTGTAACCATCTTCATAGATTTTTATTAGAAGGCTCATTTGATCTCAGCTTGAATAGCGAATGGTCAGGGATGATGGTGATTGTGGTGGAAAAGATGCAGAACCAGGTTGGCGATACCTCTATTAAGCAGTATAGTAATGTATAATAGCCATTCAAATGCCATCCTCTAATTCAGTGTTTTTCAAACTTGGCAGCTTTAAGATCTGTAGACTTCAATTTCCAGAGTTTACCAGCCAGCAAATTAAAATTGCCAAGTACGAAAAAATGAAAAGACCGTAGACTTAGGTTATGTGGTATGGTT